TAGGGGGTAAAATAGTCATTTTACCCTAAGATTAGTTATCAGTGTCTGATTAAGTGTCTTTTGGGAATTGTAGCCGGGGAGTTACCGGAACAGCAGTCAGACAGTTCCCGAGGAGCATTTCAGCAGCCAGCCTTACGAGGTGAGTTTTTCCTTCCAGTAGGAACGGGTCTACGGCCACAATGCCGGCCCGTTTAGTTAGCAGTAGTTCCGGACTTCAGTCCGATGCAGTAGTTCAGTATGCTTGGTGTCTTTGTGATACATGCATGGTATGTGTTATGTGTTCCGGACTATGGTCCGATGCAGTATGCAGTATATGTGTTCATATTATATGCTATGATTATGTTATGCTATGTTCAGTCAGTTTCAGACTTCGGTCCGATGCAGTTTCGGACTTCGGTCCGATGCAGTGGGTAAGGCCCTAGTTAGTTCCGGACTTCGGTCTGATGCAGTGGGCAAGGCCCTAGTAGTTCCATAATTCAGTCCGATGCAATGGGCAAGGCCCTAGTCAGTTCCGGACTTCGGTCCAATGCAGTGGGCAAGGCCCTAGTCAGTTCCGGACTTCGGTCCGATGCAGTGGGCGAGGCCCAGTATGTGCTTTATATGTTATTGTATGGTATGTGGTAGTTTGGGGGAGCTCACTAAGCTTCGTGCTTATAGTTTCAGTTTTGGTTTCAGGTACTTCAGCTAGCAAAGGGAAGGGCTCGGGATGATGGCATGGCACACACCACAGTTTTAGCCTGGGAGTTAGACTCTGATATTTTGATATGATCTTGACACTAGTTTCGATTTGATAAATTTATTATGACATTTTGAGATACACGATTCATGGTTTTATCTTTTAATAATTGATATTATGGTTTAGTAAAGTTTTCAAACAAAAATTTTTGGGTTGTATTTTTTGGGATGTTACAACAAATCAGAGTATCCCAAAATCAAATCTCATAAAAACTGAAGGATGTGCATGATCAAGCTTTCGCCTTGACCTGATCATCTGAAGTACCTGAAACATAAAACTTAAACTGTAAGCCAAAGCTTAGTGAGTTCCCCCAAATACCACACACAACCACATAAACATACAAAATGTATACGGGGTCCACAGTCTCCGGACTAGATTCCCTTGCCCATAACCTCCTGGTTGGATTGCCACTTTGGCCCACAATCTCCTGATTAGATTGTCACTCTGGCCCACAACCTCCCAGTTGGATTTCCACCTGGGTTGTTCTCCGAAAACACAAAGAAGTACAGCCTCAATCCAAACCATACTATGTCGACATATACAACAGATAAATATATAACAACATACAGATAAACATGCGGATCTCATCAGATCACTACAGCATAGCAACATCCTAAACCAGGATACATAATCTACTGGGTCGACATTGGTACCTTCGACCCACAAGTACAGTGAGGAAAACTTACATCATAGTCTGAAAAGATAATAGAAAAGAATGATGCTCCAAAATGTCAACTCTACAGGTCGCATATACAACAAACAATGATCTAGACTCAAGCTATAGTTCAAAATACCCAAAATGCCCCTAGGTCAAACTTGGTCGAACCCTAGGTCAAAGGTCAAAGTCAGAAAGTCAAAAGTCAAGGAAAGTCAAGATAGGCTGAGTATGCCCCGCGTACTCGGCTACTATGTCGAGCGTAGTCGAAATCTAAGCATATCATCGGGGCTTCAGCCTAGTACGCGTAACGTACCACTTGGTACGTACGACGTACTCTGTCTGGACCAACTCTTTATCATTAAGTGCTTGTTTCTTAAAGACCTTCCTCAAAATTTCAGATCTAGACCCAAAACATCATTCTAAGTCATAAAGTTTCCACCTTTATGACTTTCCATGGCTAGAAAAGGTCCAAAAGCTAAAACCCTAACTTAGTATTCCATTAAGACATCACAACTCTTGCATGGAAGGAATAGAAGGACCAAGATCACATTTTTATGGTTCCTAACACCTAAAAATGTCTGAAAGGACAACTCTTATGGTTAGAGTATTCCATACTTATGAACACCAAGCTTATGGGACCAAAATAAACATAAACTCAAGGTTACCAAGATCTAAGTGATTAACTCATCAAGTTTCAGACTTTATACCTCCAAAGGGTGCTTAAGGGTGAAACACTTCTGGATCCAAGATGTATTGAGCTGCCAAGATGATTTCATTTCCTTCTTCTTCCTTCAATAACACCAAAAATGCACTCTCAAGCTCAAAAAGGCTCACACAAAGGATTAGGGTTTGTTAGGGACAAATTGGGAGATGGAGGCTGATAAGGGAAAAGGTTTTGGAGAGTTAATGATGCTTAAATAGTGCTCAAACCCTAAAAATTAGGGTTTGCACTTTTTCCATGTACGCCATGCGTATCAAAGAGTACGCCCAGTGTACGCACAAAGTGCCGCGTTTCAATTAAGTGACACATAGGACCAAATTTGCACCAAATTTCATTATAAGGGGTATAAATGGAAAAATACTTGGATCAAGGTGTTACAATTCTCCCATACTTGAATCAGTCTTTGTCCTCGAAGTCCACTGCCACAAATAACTTAGGGTAGTGCTCTCGCATCTCTGCCTCGGGTTCTCAAGTCCATTTGGAACCCTCCTGATGCTGCCATTGAACGTTGACCAATGAGACCACCTTATTGCACAAGGACTTTGTCTTCCTATCCAGAACTGCCACTGGTTTCTCAACATCATTTAGGCGATCATCTCTTCTTGTCGTTAGACCTTTGTAAGTGCTAAAGGTTCGAACTTTATTGCATGTTATAGATAGATCTAGGTTTTTGTCCCTTTTATTCATGTTTATGCAAGCTTGAGTGAAGTAGATCCAAAAAGTTAGCAACTTTATGGATTCTAAGGGTTCCTTGAGCATCATATTGTCTATATTTGGAAGTTGGTGAAGTATTAGAGTCTTGCATGAGAATTTGGTACCATATTCTTACTTTTGACCTAGAATGGAGGGAGGACATGCATGGTGCATGCATGTCCGTAAAGTAAACATTTTTATGGACCTTTTGGGTCCATATAAGCTTCTGGAAGAGTTGGGATTGATGGCTTATTAGATTAAGGACTTAAAAATTTGGTTTTTGGCTTTAGACTGAAGTCACGATGTGGTAATTAAGAAACCTGTTTTCTGCTGAGTTTTGGGACTCACAATGTGATTGATTGATGCTCACGTCATGATCAACCCAGTGAGTGATCCGTGAATGAGTTGGCTGAATCTGGAGCGGGTTGCTGGAATCGGACCTGGTGGACTCTCACGACGTGACCAAGGACTGGTCACAACGTGAGACTCGATATTATGGTTTTAGACTAATGACTTTAACTTTGTGGGTTAACTCTTTGACATGGTTTGACTTTGGGGTCATGAAGGGGTAAAATTAGGGATGAGCAACGGAACCGACCCGGCTGGAACCGGCCCGAATCGGACCCGGCCCGGGAACCGAAGTCGGACGAAATTAAGAACCGAACCGGACCGCCGGTTCTACCGGTTCTTGCTGTGTCTTCAATGTTGGAACCAATCATCGAGAAATAGCAACATACGGTTTCGGTTTTTGCCGGTTCTACCGGTTTTTTCCGGTTCCTACCGGTTCCCGGTTCCAAAAATCCACAAGAATATCGTCCCGGTCCCGGCTCGACTGGTTCCATCGGGTTCCGGTTCCGGTACCGGTTCCGGCCGGTTCCCCGGTCCAAATGCTCATCCCTAGGTAAAATGGTCATTTACCCCAAGGAGAGTATGCTAAAGACCCTTAATTATGATATATCACCTTAGTTCGCTGATTAAGGTTGTTTTTGGATATGTTTAGTGAGAGGAGCTTTGTAGCAGCAACCCGCATGTGGGTTTTATCCGACTATCGTTTGATGTGACTCTTCTCACCGTACTTGTGGGTCGAAGGCACCAATGACAGCCCACTGATTTGTATATGTAGGATGTATGTGTCTATGTGACTTTTACTGATATGATTGTATGATTGTATGCATGGAGCCGATCTGGGCTCGGAGTCACTATAGTCTCGGGGTTGATACGGACCCGAGGGTTGTTACGACCCGACACAACCATATGTTGTTATATTTATATTTGTGTTGTATGTGGTACTTTGGAGGAAACCCACTAAGCTTTATGCTTACTGTTTATGTTTATGGTTTCAGGTACTTCCAGTACGAAAGGGAAGAGCCTAGCGGGATGGCACAACATCCCCCTCATGATTCCACACTTATGTTTATTGTACTCTGATGGTTTTGACATTTTGTATTGTGGATGACTTTGAGAGATCTGATGTATGGAACTAATGGTTTGTTTTTAAAAGAAAAATTTTATCTCTGTTTTTAGGTTGATACATCTTCAACTGTATAAATCTTTTCTTTGTTCCTGCATTCTATAAATCTATGAATTGATGTTTTGGTTACTTAGAATTGATACTATGAATGTGATCTATGTCATTTTTTTTCTCCCTCTTTTTTGTTCTCATTAGTTATTCAATTACAATGCAATTTCAGCTTTCCATTAAGTTGATACCCATGAATGTATTCTATTCCATGCAACACCAAAACACAACATTACTATGATATATGGAAGCATTTTTTGGTAATTTTGCCAAACACTAAAAATGACTTATTAGAGTATATATAGTGTTCTGTCACCGGAAAAGCTAAGTCAAATATTTTTAAAAAAAATTCCGATTTGACACTGCCATAAACTAATAAATCATAAGTTAAAATGGGATTTATTTCATTTTAAATAAGCTTTTCCGAACACCCTCTAAGATTGAAACTCTACCTAACCAACCGTGTCATTCGTGTGACCACAATCTGCGACTAAATTTTTTTGACCATGAAGGTCCAAAACTCTAAATAAAAACTTACTATAAAATGTACAGAGCTAGCATAAAACTAATGAAAATCTAAAATACACAATATTTGCATTCCAAAAAAACGATAACAAATATTTCTTTTATATGTACAACTGCCGGAATTAATAAGTTTAAATAAAACTCTAATTTAGTTATCTTCTGTTTCGGATTTTTTCACTTTCTGATTCCTAGAGTAACGAAAATAATGATCCCAATCATGCTTTCCTACACTTCCAAACAACAAGTACTTCCAACTCGATTTCTCATCAAAATCAAAACTCGATTCGCTTTTGTTAAGATGATCCATTCGTTCAAGAACCCCATCGACGCTCAGATCAAACGCATCTTTAAATTTCTCCAATTTCGACTTCGGATCAGCGTAAACCACCTGAGGAATCAATCTGATCACTTCATCTCTCATCTCCGCCACCTTCGCAGCCGGAATCTGCGATAAAACCTGCTCGATGCTGACATTTTTATGGTGCACGTCTTCCTCGTCGATAAGAACTGAGTACTTATGGAAGTCTCGTGGCAAATGCCATATATATTGAATGTAAGCAGAACCAGGGGTGAAGAACACCGGAATGCAACCGGCGAGAATCGAATCGAAAGTAGACCTACGGGTATATGAATCACCGGGAGGTTGTAAGCAGAAGACTGAATTTTGAAATAATCTCATCACGTCAATCGGCTGGTAACACTTTAAATTATAATACGAACATCGTAGTAGCCTGCATTTTGGAATGGATGCGATACATTGCTCGATAATTTTCTCTCGGATTGAATCTTCTATTCCCGGACGTGGAGCGCCGGCGAAAGAGAACAACGCTCGCCGCCTTTGTCTTTTCATCTTGTTCTGCCAGTCAATGATCTGAAGATCGTTTCCCGGGTGGAAATACGTGGGATAAGGGATGCCGAAATCGTTATTATGCCAAGGGCTTTTCTCAATCGTTAAAATCGTCATGTTTTTGAACTCCGGCAATGACATTAGTTTACTTCCCCAAGCGTCATCGTCGTCGGTATCTCGTCGGAAATCCCAAGTGATTCTCCCGATAACGAGGAAGTGGTTCTTCCCGGAATTTATCTCCCATTCCGGTCGTTTACGTAACCATTCGGCTAAATCAAGAGAAATCGCGTCTCGAGACGAGGTGTTGTGGTCAAATAGGTATCGGGAAACGTCAAGTCCGGCGAAGTACGGGACGTAAATGGCGGAAGCTGTTGATGAATCGTTCGTGAGGCATTCGTATTGCTTCATTCGATTCCTGAAAATGACTTCCAGTAGGAATTGATTCGTGGAATACCAACCGGATCTGGAGAGAACCCTTTGAGAGTTACCGAGAACGGGCCCGAGACCATTGTTATCCAGGGAAGGGCACATGTTTTGCCATTTGTTGAACGATCGACAATCGTCAAGGATGTCATCGTTGAATCTCGCCGGAAGATCGTGAACGTAAATATACCGGCCAGAACATGATCGTTTCGTTGATCGATGCCTCCTCCGTTCAGTCCGTTGTCGCCCCAATTGCTCGGCTACTTTCTCGATCGTTGTTTCATTCACTCTCCTATCATGTGATTTCTGTTTCCGTTTCTCTTCCATCTGCTCTGAACCTTTCTCGTTTGTCGTTTTATTATGCTTCTTCTTCTTCTCCTCCGGTTTGGGTTTGAATTTTTCTAGTACAGGTTCTAATTCTTCCTCCAGTGCTTGCAATTGAGTCGTATCCTTAAGCCAATCGATCTCATCGTCGACTTTGGTCTTATCATCACCGGTGGTACTGTTCTCGGATTCTGTGGCGGCGGGATGCGTCGTGTTCGTATCTACAATTTCAACGGTGTTTCCTTGGTGGCGGAAGGCGGTTATAGGTGAAGATAAATCGTACCATTTAACATTGTGAATCATAACACACCAACAAATGAAAAACAAACAAAGCACCACCCCGATTTTGATTCGGTACCTGGATGTGTGATCCATCTGTTACCCGATAATGCAAAGCGGTGGCAGCTGCGGTGGTTCTGAGTTCTGACGATGGGTCATCGGATTTTCGAAGATTTCATGATCATATACGTTTGAATTCTCAAAGAAAAGAAAATTTTGATCGTGAGATAGTTTGGAAAGCAAAGTGGGTGGGGATGGGGGAGAGGGAGAGAAAGGTTGTTTTGCTGTAGCAAAAATGGTGGATGAAATATAGAGTCGGCCATGAACCAGTCAATTTAGAAGAGGGAAAGCATGTAATTAAGTAATTAAGATATTAATCTTATTAAATCGTAAATAAGCATCACTATTATGTTTTCTAACATTTAATTTAATAAATAAATATAATCATCTGGTTTCAGTTAAGTTTATAATGCTAAGATGTTAATTTAGAAGTGAAAATTGGTACGGTACTAATTAGTTTTACCTTAAACCGTATATCATATCAAATATATTTGGCTACTAACAAATTGATAATAGTATATACTGACTTTTTAAAAGTGAAAATTGGTACGGTAACCAAAAATTTGGTACCAATATATTTGGCATTCAAATATAAGATGTTAATTTAGGAGTGAAAATTGGTATCGTAACAAAAAATTTGTTATCGGTACCGTACCAAATATACTTGTTACCAATATATTTGGCTATCAACAAATTTGGTTGGTATAAATTGGTAATCGTATATACTTACTTCTTTTAATTTTTTAATATAAAATTTTAAAATAAGCAAATAAATCGGGTAATTTTGATGTTTAGTAAAGAAATTAGTTAAGCATTTTAATTTACAAAAAAGTTCTATTGAAGTAACGTTTTAATTTTTTGGGTTTAACGTGGTAATAACTATTGACTAATACGACCAAATAACTTATATAATGTTGGTTCGTTAAGAAAATATGTATATAAAAAATTTCTTATCTTCCTATCAAAAATTTCATTTATTATTGATCTTAATTCTCTCTCTCTCTCTCTCTCTCTCTCTCTCTCTCTCTCTATATATATATATATATATATATATATATATATATATATATATATATATATATATGCACAATTTCGTATATGCCCTTACTAAACATCTAAATATCGTATTTATCCGGTCTAAACTCTAAATATCATATTTGCCCTTCTTAATGTTTTTTAATATCATATATGCCCAAATCTATTTTTTAATAATTTTTATTGGTTTATAATTCTTTTTCATTATCTTAAATCATTATAATTAAAAAAACATTATAAATAGACAATAATGCCCTTAGTTCTAAATTCCAATACAACACATGTTAAAATTGCTTACAATCGATGCCTACTTCCCTATCTTTAGTTTTCGTTCCTGTTAATACCTCCCATCGCAGCACATCACATACCTGGTGGATGTAAAGCATTTGAACTTATAGCCAAATTTTGTTATAGTATAAAGCTAGAACTCATTTCCTAGAATGTTATCAGCCTTCGATGTGCTTCAGACTACCTCCACATAACAAATGATTATGGAGATGAAAACCTAATCACATAAACAAAGACCTTTCTACAATAAGTGTTCACTACCTGGTCAGACACCATAGATGCTCTTGAAAGCTGTGAAGAAGTTCTTTCAGATGCAGAAAACCTCAACCTCATCTCACGCTGCATAAATTCTATAGTTATAAAAGCTTGTTCATGTCATAACCCATACAAGCCCCCTCCCACTGCAACGTTACCAGTAAATAACATCACACAAACCTCTGTAATCTGGAATGGAGTTCCCACCAGTCAATAACATCATACAAACAAGAATCCATCTGTTTTTTCTTCACTTTCATATACGCAGGCAACGAGTGGTATTCAACCAGCTGATACTTCATCTTCTTCCATAATTTCTTCCCCTTTCCTTATTCTTTTGTTATTGATTCATCAACCCTTTGCTTGGAATCACTCGATTCAACGCCACACTTTTTGCCATTTTCTATCAACCCAACAATCGTTATTGAATGTTCAAAGGGAAGAATCAAGATACAGCGAGAAGAAGATAGTTACGTATGTGTACACGCAAAGATGATGAACCAGCTAATTAATCGAAATTATGTGCAATTGGAGAAAACCCAGATGGGGAATTCTTCAATAATAGAAGATGAATGTTTGTAAACACAGGGGAAACTTGCGATCGACAGTGATGCATAAAGTATTGGGATTTAGGGGTGGGGAGAAATACAATTGATGTGTCCGAGAAGGGAATTAAGAATAAAGGGCATTATGGTCAATTTATTTTAATTTTAATTTTAATTATTTAAAAATATAAAAAAAGATTATTAAATGTTAAAAATTATTAAAAAAATTAGATTGGGGTATATATGATATTAAAAAACATTAAGAATGGCAAATACGATATTTAGAGTTTAGACCGGACAAATACGATATTTACATGTTTAGTAAGGGCATATACGAAAAAATACCAAGACATCACAAAACTTTTTTTTGAATTTTTTTATTAAAAAATCGCAGCATTTTTTACAATTTCTATGAAAAAAAAAATAAAAAATCATTTTTTTTTGTAAAAAAAAAAAATTTCAAAATTTTTTTTCAGCGATTTTGACCTAAAAGTTGCGATTTTTTGATAAAAAAAATTCAAAAAAAAGTCTTGTGATCTCTAAGTATTTTTTTATGCATTTTAATGATTTTTAGGGTTTTTTGTTTTCCATAGAACCTAAACCTATATATATATATATATATAATATATATATATATATATATATATATATATATATATATATATATATATATATATAGGGGATAGAAGATATACATTACAGCCCCATCTAAGCTTAGATACTAAACCTCTAAAATATGTCGTTTTAACTTAGTAAAAATACTCGGTTTGATTTTCACTTAGTAATATACCATCCACGATAACATTTCTTACCTCCATTATCATTTTACCATCCATGTTTTCTTTCCTCCATTACTTCATCCCAACGAACATTACTGTTTTCCACTGTCATGAAGGTCGAATATAATCAATATTCTTGCTTCCTTATCAAAATTATTGCGTCGATCATGAATCTACATCTTCAAGTGTTAATCGTTAATCCCTTAATCGCAATCTTTGTATAGTAAAACAACGTATTTTCATTAGGTTTAGTACGTAAACTTAGGTGGAGCTGTAATGTATATTCATTTTTCCCATATATATATATATATATATATATATATATATATATATATATATATATATATATATGGGAAAAATGAATATACATTACAGCTCCACCTAAGTTTACGTACTAAACCTAATGAAAATACGTTGTTTTACTATACAAAGATTGCGATTAAGGGATTAACGATATATATATATATATATATATATATATATATATATATATATATATAATGAATTGGTTGGTACGATACTACCATGGTATTTAAATTTTTGTGTCATTACCATACCAAGATTGCTCAATTGGTACGGTAGTACTAGCCAAACATGGTGGCTACCAACTTTTTTGGTTCGGTTGGTAACATGTTAGTTGATTTCCGTTGTACAATTTTAACAGTCCTAGAATTTATAACCATCTCCATCTTTTAACATGTGTTATATACATCTTTTCTATTTTTCTAATGTCAAATTTTTTAATATAAATAATAATTGTTAATTTTAAATTATTTAACTTAATAAATCAAAATTAAATATAAATATCAGATTAAGATTAATTAAAAAAAGTTTCATTAACCTGAATTATGATATTTAAAAGTTACATAATTTAAAAAATACATGACTCCTAACTCAAAAAAACATAAACCGACATAAACCTAAATGACAAAAAATAAATAAATAAATAAATAATAACGATTTATTTAATTTTCTAATATAAATGGTAATAATTAATTTTAAAATACTTTACGCACGAAATAAAATATTAATTAATAATAAAAAGTCATTAATTTTATCTAAAGAATAATACAATACATAATAATAAAAAACTACATAACTTCTAAATGAAAAAGAAACATAAACCTAAATAATAATAATAATAATAATAATAATAATAATAAACATCAACATAATGGTTAACCGATATTAACTGATACCAAAAACATTAACCAATTAAAATCGTCAACCGAAACCAATCACAACTAAAAAGTATTAACTGGTTGTAATGGTTATGGTTCGGTTGAATCAACCTCCCCATATATACTTCAACTTTTTATGCTTAATTATGTATCCTTATACAAAATATTAGTCAATCAACATAGTATAAATGAGTACATTATATATAAAAAGAAAGTCCAGTGTACTCGATTCATATTTCACAAGGCATAATTGCAAAGTTACTTTCTAATTGGTTAAGCCTCTGAGAGAACCCCTCATACCGGTGGTATGGTCTCCGTCCACCTCAACCAAAACTTCACACCACACCAACAATGATGTGGTCTCCACGCAACAACGAAAGATAAAGGAAGAGATAAAAAGATAACAGAGGAAGAGAGCGACAAGAGACATAGATGACATTCATGGCCATGGTCACATGATGAAAGAACCCATTTCTAAACTTTCGTATTTCTGAAAGACCCAAACTTTCATACTTGACAATTGTTACTCCAAAACATGCTACATGTATATTTATAAAACAATATCTTACATTGATAAAGTGATTACAAAAGATTGGATACAAACCGACTATGTTTTTATATTTTACATAACTACCCAGGATATTGTAATTTTATACAAACATAAACCGAAATACAAAAGTAATAAAAAAACTATTCTACATCTTCCGACAGTATATAACCATACTGGTTACTTATCTCCTGCAATTGTTAAACACTGAGAGGGGTAAGCGGTGACACTTAGTGAGTTCAATAATATATACAATATAATGTTACGCCATATATATATATATATATATATATATATATATATATATATATATATATATATATATATATATATACTTCAATATGGCAGAAGCAAAGAGGAACAACGAACAACAAAGGCATATGTGAATCATGTGACAAACTTTCCA